TGATTATACCACGCTTGTTTCCCAGCCTTAGGAGCAGATCAGGCTTGCTTAATCCAGACTGATCTTTTCTGGAACCAGCTCCCTGTCAAAACAGCTGACCATCTGCTTCCCAGTGCCAAAGGCAACAGAATATGATGGGCAGCATGTTGGAATGACTCCGTTGCCTGAATTGCTTCCTTTCAAATATCTGATGGGATATCATTAATGACAGCCAGGTCATTGAAACCTGCCTGTCGGAATCTCCTGCCTGCCCCAACTCTTAAACATTTGCCCTAGGAAAAAATTAAACCCCTTTCCCACAGCAAACATATAAAGTATGGATGTCACAGATGTGTGTACATGCATATTTGTTTATAAACTTATACCTTCAACCAAATAAAAATAATAATAATAATAAACCTTCATGTTGGCTCACAACCAAGGCAATAGAATAGAGTAAAACTGTTAAACCAGATCCATAAAACATCAGCTACTAAGACCAATAAACATTGGAAGCAAAATCTACTTAACAGCTTCTGAGTCCAGGCTCTAAAGCAGTGTTTCCCAACCTTTTTTGGGCAAAGGCACACTTGTTTCATGAAAAAAATCTCGAGGCACACCACCATTACAGCCCCGTGACATCAGCGCGCAGCGTCACGCCGGGAGGGACATGAATTGCTAGCAAATTACATAATCACCTCCTTGAGGGCTGGCTCATCTTCTCCGAAGGCAGAACCCCATTAATTAACAGCACAGACTCACACCATAGCCAAGACGAGGGGGGAAACCTCAGTCATGCACAGTCATGCACATGTGGGGGCTAAATGAGGACGAAGACCGGGCAGAGAGCAGGGTTCAAATCACCCCACCTGGCCAGGACAATCCCTGGGTGCTCCCTTGGGCCACTCGCCTGACCCACCTCGCAGGGCTGTTGTTGCGAGGATAACACGGGGAGAACCACGCGCGCCCCCGGGAGCTCCTTGGAGGAGAAAGCGGGCGATGAATGCAATGCACGAAATATATGAGAGGCGACCAGGTTTTGCAGGTGAGGGGCCCCCGCCAGCCTCCGCTTCCAACACCCGGCGCAACGACGCCGAAGTTTCCCCCCGGGCTCGGCTCGGGGAGCAGCGCTGCTCCCCCCGGCTCCCCTTCGCCCTCCCGGCTCTCTCTGCTGCCCACTGGGGACCCCCCTCACCTGCCAACTCCGGAGCGCCGGTGGAAGTTGCATGCATGCATGCAGGGCGCCGCGTTGCCATTGCATTGCACTGCACTCCATGCAACGCCTGCATGCATGCATTGCCTTGCACGCCCGCCAAGGGGTCTCCCCGCGGTCCGATGCGTCCCCTCCGGCGCGGATGCAGCATTGCAAAAATAAAAAAACCCCGACGCAGCCCTACCTGGGGGGCAGCCTCCGCCACTCCGCCTCCGCGGGGATCCCCGGCCTCCATCCTGCCGCCTGATCTCCGCGGGGGCGCAGGCAGGCTGCGCGGGGTCTGCGCGGAAGAGCCCCTGCCCGCCCGGCCGCCACCGCGGCGCTCATTCCATGGCCGGGAGAAGAGCGCTTCAAACAAAATGCCCGGCCCGCCAGGCCACGCTGGGAAAAGTAGTTTGCGCACCCCGCGCGGGCGCGGAGCCCAAGGGCGAGGGGACTACAGATTCCGGCAGCCCCCGCGCCGGGGACGGAGGGGGAGAGGCTGGGTGCAGGGATGGAGGGACGGGTGGGCGAGCGAGTGAGTGAGTGGCAGCCGCCAAGCCTTGGCCGAGAGCCAGGAAGGGCCTCCCCGGAGGAGGAGGAGGAGGGAGGCGCAGAGCGGGGGAGGGAGGGAGGGAACCCCAGGGGTCATCTAGTGACGGCGGCCCAATCGAAAATTTGACTTTAAAAAAAAAAAATCTTTCAATTTTTTAATTTTTCCCGCGGCACACCAGGCAACATCTCGCGGCACACTAGTGTGCCGCAGAACAGTGGTTGGGAAACACTGCTCTAAAGTATGAAGCCCTGGTGAAATAAATGTTGTTGTTTTTCAGGATCCCTTAAATTATAGGGCTTAAAAGAGTCGAAATCCCTTAGGTACATATGAAGCTGTGTTCTACCAAATCAGACCACTGGTCTATCTAACTCAGATGTTCTAAACAGCTTTTAGATGTTTTACGATCAGGCGTTTTATTAATTTTAAAATAAATAAATAAATAAATCTGTATTGTCTATACTGACTGGCAGCATATTTCCAAGATTTCTCCCAGTCCCACCTGGAAATGCTACTGGGGTTTGAACCAGGGACCTTCTGCATTCAAAGCATCTGCTCTGCCTCTGAGCTACGACCACTTCCCCAGTTTCTGATATTTCTCTTCTGGATGAGGGACACCCCCCCACACACACACACCTCACATACACAGTGCCCTCCACCTGATATGTGCCAAGGAGGCATCACCTGAAGACGTGATCTTCTGGTCTTAAACTACACTGTGCATACAGATTCAATAATACTCCCTCTCAAATATCCCAAATTGTATATAGAAGGGGTAACCAGCATGTTGCTCCCCAAAGATACTGTGGACTACAAGTTCATCGCTTGCTGCCTGGGACTGATAGGAGCTGTGGTCCATGACATCCGGAGAGCAACACATTTGCACCTTTGTTGCAAGGGGTGCCGCTTCTTGAATTTAACCTGGAAAGTAAATTATAACCAACAAAGCTATAGAGGATTGGACAAATCCGTGGAGGAGGCTATAGAGGATTGGACAAATTCATGGAGGAGGCTATTATTGGCTACTAGCTACAATGACTATGCTCTGCCTTCATGGTTGGAGGCAGTAATGCTTTTGAATACCAGTTGCTGGAAACTGGAGGAGGCAAACGTTGCTGTTTTGCTCAGAACCTATAATGAGAATCTGCTTAGCCACTGTGAGAACAGGATGCTGAACTAGATGGACCACTTTTGGTCCAATTCAACAAGCTCTTCTTATGTTCTTAGTGTCGGGTGGGGGGCGGGTGGAGAGACGACAAAGTTGAAGCCAGCACCTTTAATTCTGAAGTTAATTTATATCACGAGATCTCTGCTCCTTTATGTGTTTTTGTGTGTGGAGAAGTGACCTCACATTAGGAGGGAAAAACAACTGGCGGCTTCTGAATAGACAGGAAACAATTCCTCCCACGAGCAATTATAACTCCGGGAAAGCAATTTGAGATGGAGGCACTGGTTCCTCATATTGTGTTTCAATTTGAGGGTCAACAATCCAGCTAGGTGATGTAGTTCTATAGCTGTAGCAATTGAGTTTTTCTGTGCATCGTGAAGTTGATGGCTACCAGAAACTGATGCCGAGACAGCTAGCATATTGCTACAGGCCACCTCAATCTCTGCCAAGCAGTAGCAAAATTCGAGGGCTCTTGGCACTTAACCAGGGTTTGTGTTCCTTTGGACACTGTAGTGTTGTTAAGAAATCCTGTAGTATTTCTGTACTGTAGTGTTTTTAAGAAATATGGTTTATCCACACATATTTACACCTGAGTTTAGGTGGAGGGGGTGCAGAACATTACATCCCAGTAATGTCTCTTGTTGCTTTCCTCCTAAGTTCAGTGAGCTTCGGCCCAGAGCAAAGACAGCCATGTTCCCCAGTCTTTTGGTGCAGCATCTACCAGCCAGCGCACATGGAGTTCTGCCCCTCCCTTCTTCTTCCCAAAAACCATTATTCTAACAGTACTCAAGCCTCGTGTAAAAAGGGCATCTTTTTTCCTATGGCGACATCATGCCCCTGTAACCCTGGCAACGTCCTCTCCCAGCTTTGCTATTGTCTTTTCCTAACATATAGCTTGGGGATGAATTCCAACCCCCTTTTTTTCTGACATTTTTTGTCTCTCACCTATTGTCAGGGTAATGACCCTGCCATCACCTGTCTTTGTTCTTTGATGGCACCTCTGTCAGCCAATCTTCTGAACAGGAGAACTGACTCAGCCTATATTTTTACACTGTGCCTGGCACCTTCCCAATAGTCCAAATGCTAAATTCTACCATATACTAGCAATAGCATTATTGTTATTGTTGTTGTTGTTATTGTTGTTGTTGTTATTATTATTAGAAATGACAAACAGTGAATATATTCAACTGTTTTCAGATAGCCTATTCCAAAGTTAGCCCTCTGATGTGACTCAGCTGGGGCTGGGGGCATGAATCAGAGAGGGGTCCAAGCTATCTTGCCCTTGGCATATTCTCTTTAGCACAATTTCCTTGGTGGTCTTTGAGTGTCACCCAAAGAAAAAATATTGTTATGAAATTGGGGGGGGGCAGATCCCCATAAATTTTTAATTTAGTAAATTTCCACAAACAGAAAGAGTTTTTGAGAGAAAATGAGCTGAAATGAAATAAATAAATTAGTAAATAAATGCACATTAGGGAAAGAAAAGGAAGAACAGGAAACTATGGTGGGAGGCAGGTATGAGGAAACAATAAATGAATAGATTTAGGAAGGGAGGAAGGAAATGTTAGAAAAGGAGAAGAAAGGAAGCAGCCTGAAAGAAACTAAGGCAGTGCAGAATAAATACAGGAAGAAAGGGGGTGAATAAGTTTAGGAAGGAAAGAAAAGGAAAATATTTTGCAGTAAGGAAGGAAATAAATGTTAGGAAATAAAGAAAAGGAAGAAGATGCATTCTGAGGAGAAACTGAGGCAGAATGGAATACTAAAGCAAAGGTTTAGAAAAAAAGGAAGGAAAGAAGGAAATTTAGGAAGGAAAGCAAAGGAAGAGGGAGCATTTTGTGGTTGACTAAGGCAGAGAGAAAGTCAGGAGAGGAAATAGTAAAAAAAAGTGGAGAAAGAGAAAATAAACGTTAGGAAGAGGAGTTTGAGGTAAAACTGAAGCAGAGTGGAAAAAAGTGAAGAATGGTTTTGAAAAAGGAAGGAAAGGTTGAGAAGGCATCTGGGGGTAACTGAGGCACAGGGAGACAGAAAGCATGGGGGGAAGGCCCCACCCCAAATATCTCCCTGTGGTGGGAGGGAGTTGCCTTCATTAACCCTTTCTTCTACTTGCCGCCCTCTCCCCGCCACAGGCACAGCCCGGGTCTCGCCGTCTTCGCCGCCGCCTCCCCGCTCCTTCTCTTCTCGCGGGCGGAGGGAGGAAGGCGGGCGGGCGGAGGGAACAGCCGGGCCGGTTTGAACCAGCGGAGGCGGCGGCAGCAGCAGCAGCAGAAGAAAAAGAAGGTGGAAAGGCGGCGGAAGGGACCCCGGGATAAGTCTGGGAGGCGGTCCCGACCGTCCCTCCCGGTGCCTACGGCGGAGAAGGTGGAGGAGCTGTGTTCCCTCCGAGCATGTGAGGCTGAGGAAGGAGCAGCGGAGGGCGGGAAATGGAGGCGGCTGGGCCCGGGTCCGGTTGGCACTGCGCAGGAGGCTGCTGGCGGTGGCGGTAGGCCCGGGAGTTTGCCTTGGCAACGAGGCCTTAGGGGGAGGAGGGCCTGGCAGGGGACGGGAGCGGGGCGAGCGAGACAGGCAATGGCTGTTGCGGTTTTAGAGTGCTGGTTTGGCGCGGGAAGGGAAGGGAGCCCAACGCCAGGGGCGGGGGAGAGGAAGCGTTTCCCCCACTAATAATAATAATGTATTAAGTTTATTTGCCGCTTTTTTTGCTATGGCAACTCGAAGCGACTTACAAAAAAACGAAAACGAAGCGAGGTGTGGCGAATACGTTCGTCAAAATACCTCATGCTCCGTACCCTTCCGGGCGAGGATCCACCTGCAGAGGCTCTTTCTTTAAAGCGGATATTTAGCGTGTATTTGAGGACACAGGATTTCATTGAAAACCGCCTTGTGCTGAGTTAGGCAACTGGGTTCCGTCCAGCTCAGTACTGTCTGCACTGACTGGCAGCAGCAGCGGATCTCCAGGGTTCGGCCCTGCCTGAGGATGCCAGGGGTTGGGACTCAGCATGCAAGGCAGGTGCACAGGAAGCTACCTTCTACAGATCCAGAGCAACTGGTCCATCTAGCTCTGTACTGGCCACACTCATTGGCAGAATCCAGACGGTCTTTCCCAGCCCTACCTGGAGATGCCATAGGGCAGGCATGTTTAAAGTCCATTTTGGGGGGCCTAATCCGGCCCACTGGCCTCTGTGGCAGTTTATTTCCTGGGGTAAAATCCTAAAAAAAACCCTCAGACTTCAATCCTAAAAAAAAGCTCAACAACTTTGAGGTAAAATAATTTTTAAAAGCCCAATAACTTCAACCCTTTAAAAAGTCAACAACTTTTTCGCTCTATAGGACGCACTTTTTCCCCTTCAAAAATGAGGGGGAAATGTGTGTGCGTCCTATGGAGCGAAGATGCCATAGCCCTGCGACCCTCTCCCGGCTGGAGAGGTAACGCGGGGCTATGGCAGGAGCCTCTCCAGCTGGGAGAGCCCTTGTTCTCCCCCCTCTAAAACAAGGTGTGTCCTATTGTCCGGTGCATCCTATGGTGCGAAAAATACGGTAGTTAATATAGAACATGTCGTATGTAGAATTTGATTGGGAAACTTCAGCGCATTGGCTTTCTGCATAACTGTGGCATTGTGATAATATGCATATTTTCTTTCTTTTTGTGTTAGGATGGTGTAACAACTTGCCTGAGAACCAATACTTGAGTGGGCCTCCTTGCTACCAATTAGGATGTTTCTCATGGACACCCCCCCTTTGGTGGCCCTCCAGAGGACATGGGAGCCCTTTGTCCCATCGAGGAACTGCAGGTACCCCATCTGCTTCTCAGAATCCGAAGATGATATTGCTAGGACAGCTGTCAGTGCCAAAGTCCAGATGATCATTAACAACCTCCAGAGCGAAGAGGCATCCTTGGATGCCAGCTGCAGTGAATATGGCTGCCTTATGCAGAAAAAGCAGAAGGGAACCAAGGTCAGGAGCCCCAAGCTAAGGGCCAGCGGCAGGACGCTGCAGAAACACATTGAATACACCCAGAGTCACTGTCCTGCCGACTCTGATGGCATGGAGGTGGAAGAGAGCTCAGAATTTGGCCCTCTCTCACTGAATTCTGACAGTGATGATTCCGTTGACCGAGAAATAGAAGAGGCCATCCAAGAATATCTAAAAAACAAAGGCCAGTGCATTTCACCACTGCCAAGCGAGGCCAAGAGTTTGCACAGTGTAGACAATACAGATTGTAGTTTGTTCCCTACAGATGTGAAGTTGAATGAGGTTCAGTGCCCCTGTTCCCCCAACTACTTTGAGGGAGACATCGCTCCCTCCCCGTGCAGTGTGAGCAGCAACGACTCTTTTGAACAGAGCATCAAAGCTGAGATAGAGCAATTCTTAAATGAGAAGAAACAGCAATCAAGGAAAAAGGATATAACACTGGGGAGTAGGAAACTTCACCAGAAAGAGACCCAAGAGAAGTTGGCAGTTAGGAACCGGAGAGAAAGTCGGCAAAGGTATCTGAAACGAGAGCGGGGCAAGGCACTCTTCTTAAGGCACCACCTGGAACTCAGAGGTGCCAATGCTCCTTCTAAACAGGAGTCAACAACCAGTGGAGAGGAGCTTGGTGACTTCAGTACAACAGGCCAAGCAACCTTGAAAACACCTTTGGCTGGTCATTCCTGCATCCTGGAGCAAAGCAGAACAGGCAAGAAAAGGCAGGCACTTTGGAAAGCCAGGGAAGAGCAAACCCTTCAAAGCATAGACATCTCTGATTCAAGTAGTGACGATGGCATTGAAGAAGCTATCCAACTGTACCAGCTGGAGAAAACCAGGAAGGCAGCAGACTGCAAAGCAGGCCACGCTCCTTTTCCAAAGGAAGAGTTTGGGGCCATCAGGATAAAAGATATATCCGCCAGGTTGATGATCCGTTCAGTAAAAGGTGCCTTGCCAGAGATCCCCAGGAAAGCTTTGAGCAGGAAGGGGAGGCAAAGCTGCTCTAAAGCAGCAGAATTAAATAAGTTGGATGCCATTTGCAGCAAGACAGCAGAGAAAGGCAATGTTGGCCCTACTCTGGAAGATGACTTTGCAAAGTGTGCACTCACCTTCCAGGCCTCTTGCAGGACAGACACTGCTGCTGAGCTGATGTGTGCAGAAGCCATCCTGGACATCTCCAAGACCATTTTACCTCTCCCTACAGGAAGCAGCAACAGCAGGTCATTCACCACAAGTGATCCTTCATTCTGCTCCCAGAGTGTGCAGCCTTTTCAAATTGAAAGTGACAGTCACAGCGTGAACAGTGATGACAGCATTGAGCAAGAGATAAGAACTTTTTTGGCGGTCAAAGCACAAGCAGGAGGCCTGGTAGCAAAAAATGAAGGGGTCTCACATAGTGCCCAAATTCCTCCCTTCTCTGGGCAACCATTAAAACTGTCACCAAGTCAAAAAAGGAAACCCAAGGCAGGACGCAAGCGAGGCCAAAGCACACAACTGATGCTGTCAAATACGCCCCAAGGTGGTCTGAGCATACTGAAAAACAGCAAAGTTGGAGGGGCAGTGGCTAGCTGCCAACAAGATTCTGTAACCATTGCCAGTTTAATAGATTTTGGAAACCCTTTGTCACAAGGACAGCTTGGTGCTAGAGAACTTTTTAAAAGCATGGCATGGGGTCAACAGAAGTACATCATAGAGGATAAGAGCAGTTCTTTGGACAGTGATGAGGACTTGGACACAGCTATCAAGGACCTCTTGAGGTCCAAGCGAAAGTTAAAGAAAAAACCCAAAGACAAAAGAATCCCGTGCAAGAAGAGAGTCCGGTTTAGTGAGACAGAGATGCAGATTCTGGAGGATAAAGAAACAGACTGCAAATCCAAAGCTCCCACCTTGCTGAAGAGTTGCCTCATGAGCCCGGGAATAAACTTTGGGGAAGAGGATGCAAAGAAAGGGCCCCAAAGCATCATGAAGTCCCAAAGTCCAAAAGCCACACAGTGTGTGTTGGAATTTAAAAAGGAATGCCACACTAAGTCAGTGGCAGGGCCCAAAACTCGGGATGGAGCGAAAAGCAATCAGTGTTTTTGGGCTGCCACATCCCTGACAGACAACAGCAGTTCCATGGATAGTGATGACAGCATCGAGCAAGAAATCCAGAGGTTCTTGGCAGAAAAGGCTAAAGATTCCACAGAAGTACCCAGAGCCGATGGGATTGTTGAGAACTTGCAAATTGATAAACCCCAAACAGCCATATCTAAAGCAAAGCACCAGCTGTTCAGAGACGGAGGCAATGCCTTGCTGGGATGGAGTAAAAAAGCAAAGAAGGCAGGTCCACTCATGGTTGTGTTGAGAAGTTCTCTGAAGGCTGAAGAAGAGACAGTGCAAAATGACATGCAGGTGGTCTCATCTGAGTGGGATCTGTGCAGTCAAGGTACTGTGCAGACAAAACGACCCGGTTTACCTGCAAAACAGGCAGTGGTTCGAAGAAAGGTTGGCTATGATAGCAAGCTTGACCAAATAAACATTCCACCTGGGAAGGGCAAATCTGAGAACTTTAAATCACAAAATTACTTTAAGCCATTGTCTTCTTTCAAAAGGAAAAGCCCATATGAGTTCAAAGTTTCCGGCAAGTTTATAGCAGGCCTCAAAAGCACTCAGAATAAAAAAAACCCTGTGCTTGTGGGGAAAGGGCAGGGTGAAGATCTGTCATTCAAGAGGCAGGGAGGTGCCCCAGTATCAGATTTGCTTGGTAAGAGGCAGGTGGTGAGACTGCAGAGAGGGGGGGTTCTAAGATCCAGGTGTCAGGCAAGATTTAAAGAGTCAGATTTATCTTCAGGAGGGCCTACTCCCTTTCTGACTGAGAGGCAAGGGGCAACAGAGGAAGCTTATTTATGCTATGAAGCAGTCAACCTAGCAGATATTAAACCTTTGGAGCCTTGCTGCAGGAGGGACTCCAGCCATGGTCTTCCTTTGCACGTACGCAGCACAGCTAATGAGCAAGGGGTCAGAGTTAGCACAGTGTCCCTGCGTGCTGAGTTCCCTGATGGGGTAGAAGAAGGGAACACCCAGGAGCTTCACACCAGTTGGAAGGAGTGTAGTAAAGTTCCCAGCAGCTGTTATAGCTTGCAACAGATGGAGAATCCTTGATTGGCCAGGATAGGATAGCAGAGGAGCAAGCCCAGAAAGATTTAGAGGAAAGCTGTGCAGAATTTGTAGGTGTAACCCCAATGGAGTATGCACGCTGGTGAAAAGCAAGGACTTCAGTTTGTAAGGGCTTTATTTTTTACAGCATCCGTGTGTGGTTTTTTTTAAGGTAAAAGCCTGCATTACAGTTAGGTTTTCTGACATCTTGATTAATCTTCATGCTGGAAGGGGTGAGGATTTGTTCTTTTCCTCACCCTCCCCTGCATCATCCTTGAGTTACAAGGACAATCTTATAATTGTAGAGTTTGAAGGAATCCAAAGGGTCATCTAGCCCAACCCCCTTATCTACTCAGCACCTCAAGATTCATCCACAGTGGGAAACTTATGCCTCCCCCCCCCCTGACCAAGAGATTTATCCTTTTCAGATAAAGAAAATGTAATCTTTATTAAGCAGCCCAGAGTGTCGTGGTCTTCAAAGTATTCAAAATGGAAAGAGAATTTGGCACAAATGCAGACAGTATATATTTCCATTGAAGGAATCTGTCACCTATTACATGGACTTGATTCCCCTCCCCCCTTTTTTAAAGACTGTTCTAAGTTATTTAAAAAATGCTTTTAAGTAAGTCTTTTTTGTAACAGTTTATAGAGCACCCCTAACTGCAGAGAACTGTAGTTCATGTTCATTGTACTACATCAGGATTGGAAAACTTGTGGGGTCTCCAGATGTTGCTGTAGTAAGACTCCCATCATCCCCAGCCACTGGTCATGCTGGCGTGGAGCTGATAGGAGTTGGAATCTAACAATATCTGGAGGGTGCAGGAGTTCCCCACCCACTTATCACAGACAATGAAGATAACTCTGGTCTGAGACTTTCGACTTTATTCTTAGAACAGCCTTCCCCAACCTAGGGCCTGTGCTTCCTGGAGTTGATGGGAGTTGTAGTCCAGAACTTCTGGAAGGCACCTGGTTGGCGAGGGCTGTCTTAGATGCTTCCACAGAGTCAAGTGTTTCTTTCCAAGAGCAGGTATATTGAAGGTACTTCTTGCCTTCCTTCATAGAAGGTAAACATGATAGCAGAAAGTGGTTGCACCTCAGAATTTGCATTCCCCCCCTCCAACTAGTCTGTATATATATTTTTTAAAAATGCTGCTTTCACATCTCATTTTACATTGACACCTCATGGCAATCTGCCTCTTCTCACTATAAACCTTTACTATACATTCTTCTATTGCTCTTTAAACCCCCAGATCAGTTTATGGGGACCCTCGGGCGGGGGGGCGGGGAGAGAGGGTGCATCTGTATTCATCAGTCAAATTGCAGTACTTTGTAGCTTGTGGTTCGATTCTGTCTGACTGTAGAAGCACTTTTGAACTTGTTTTGTATATAAGAAATGGTGTACATTCATACATTTATAAGGTTTAATAAACTGGGTTCAGAGTTTGAACCATGAAACCAAAAGTGTTTTCTTTTTTAATGTCTCAGATGTTTCAGAGAGATTTAGGTCCACAGCCACCACTTGGTCCTCTGTCATTTATCTTACTCAGGCTGTTTCCAAAGGGGCTTTGTCCACCCTCTTAAGGTGTGAGCGGAAAGGAACAGTTGTATTCTGTACCCCAGTCAATAATAGAGCCTACTAGATCAGGCCAGAAGGGTCCCATCTAGTCCAGCATCCTGTTCTTACAGTGGCCAACCAAAACCCCCAATGGGAAGAAGCCCACAAGCAAGACCAGAGCAAGAGAGCAACTCTCTCCGCTTATGATTCCCAGCAGCTGGTATTCAGAGGCATTCTAGCTCCCAACAGCAGAGGAAGAACAAAAGAAAGCCTGCTGGAAAGCCACCTGCCTGGTATCGATAGCCAAGGTGTTCCAGAGTGTAGGTGCTGCCATACTAAAAGATAGATTTCTTACAAATGGGGAATGAGTATTATGTGGCACCTGTAACAGTGCCAGTTTCACAGGTTGACTCGGTCGTGTGAGCATTTATGGAGTAAGCTCACAGGTAAACTTATCCCAAGTTTCTGGACCTCATTGCTCTGAATTAAATAGGAACATAAGTGGCCATATTCCAGCTCTGACTGTTGGTCCACCTAGCTCAGTATTGCCTACAATGACTGGTCTTCCCAGAGTTTCCAAAGTCTTTCCAGGGTTTCAGGCAGGGCATTCCCAGCCCTAGCTGGAGATGCCAGCAGGGATTGAACCCGGGACCTTTGACATGTTCCACCAATGAGTTACAGCCCTTCCCCAAGTGTGAAGGCAGACAATACATGCAGATTGCTGCAGATTCCCAACATTTTAATGATGGACACAATACTATTGTTACACGGTAGCCTTAATTAAACCCAACAGTGATATTCTCTGCAAGCTCTTTGCCGTGGATGCAATCCAAAGCCATTTAACCCCACTTGTTGAAGACTATAAGAGTTTTCTAGATAGAGAGGAGCATGTAAGCAGAAATTGTTCACTGAAACTAGGGATGGGAGCCACAGGAAAAAAGTTGTTTTTTCAGGAGCTTCAAAATAGTAATCATTCCTTGGTGTCGTTCGTTAGGATGAAGGAGTGAAAGCTTAAATGGGCAGCAACTTGGCTTCCAGGTGTCCCCTACTCGCAAAAGGATGGCCCCCCAGTCCTGTAACTGGGGTGGAAATTCAGTGTGTCAAAGCAGGTGATGAAGTTTTCTGCGCCGGTCACATAGCTCTTCTCTGTGTTGGTGTTGATCCCGGTATTCCGGTATGGGCCAAACTTCACAAGGTGGTTTGAGAAGGCATGTGGGGAAACATGGAAGCTGGTCTGTTGGGAAGAAAGTGGGATGTGAATGATTATCTGGAACCCTGAGGCTAGTGAGTTAACTTGAGTAGCGCAGACCACAGGCAACCCCCTCTAGGCAAACAAAATGAAAGTTTTGTTTAGGAACCTGTGCACTAAGGACACTGACTCCTGCCTAGAAGGCAGGGAAGTCACCCTGCAGTCTATATAAGAACATAAGGAGACCCTGCTGGATCAGAACAAAGGGGGCCCACGCAGTCCAGTTTCCCGTTCTCACAGTGTCCTACCAGAAGCCCACTATCACTATGGGAAACTCACAGTTTTCTAGATAGAGAGGAGCGTGTAAGCAGTAGAAAAGTCTTCTGCCAGTTGGCAATTCCCAGCAATGTGTTCAGAGGCATACTGACTCGAGCACTAGAATTAGCATGTAGGACCTAAGGACCTAAAAAAGAGCTCTGCTGGATTAGGCCAAAGACATATCTAGTCCAGCATCCTGTCTTCACAGTGGCCATGCAGATGCCCACTATCAGAAGTTCCCAAGCAGGACCAGAGCACATGAGCAACACTCCCATCCTGTGGTTTCCAGCAACAGGCATTCTGAGGCATTATTGCCTCTTAGCTTATAGAGGCAGAGCATAGCCACTTTGGCTGTTGTTGTTTAGTCGTTTAGTTGTGTCCGACTCTTTGTGACCCCATGGACCAGAGCACGCCAGGCACTTCTGTCTTCCACTGCCTCCCGCAGTTTGGTCAAAGCCACTTTGGCTAGTAGCCTTCAATAGCCCTCTTCTCCATGCACACTCAGTTGTCCATGTCCCTAATGATCTACTCTCCCAAAATTATGGCACGCCAGAGGACTATCATAATGAGGATAACTTCTCTCAAAGAACGGGTCCTTTTCTAAGGGGCAATTTCCCTCTTTCTTAGGGACAATTAGAAGTAAAGTTCCAGCTGCGTTTTGAGTGCTCTCATGGAGCAACTCATGATATTGTATTCATTATTATAATATCTGTAGGCCACACTTCCATTACAAATGCAGCAATACAAAATTGCTGGTGTTTCTGCTTATCTTCTTGTAAAAACACCAATACAGACTGATTGGGGGGTTTTTAAGCCATGCTCTAAAGGCCTTTCTGGATAATACCATTTTAAGGAGACATCTAAAAAAAAGGAAAAAATGATTCCTACCAAACCTCCACTGGCAGGGAGTTACACAGGACAGGGCCTCCCTAATAAAGACTGAATGAACCAGTGTGATGTAGTGGTTAGAGTGCTGGAGTAGGACCTGGGAGGCCTGGGTATGAATCCCCACTTGTCATGAAAAGCACTAGGTGTGACCTTGAGCCAGCCTACCTTAGGAGGAGAAACCGGGGACATGTACAGTGCAGTGCCAGGCCCTGCCTATCACCCAAACCTACATTGCAGGGTTGTTGTGGAGACTGAGCAGAGGCAGAACCAAGTATGCCACCTTGAGCTCCTTGAAGGAAAAAAGCGGGATATAAATAAAATACATAACCTCAGTGATTGAGGTAGAGCATAAGAGATCAAGTGGTTCTTAAGGTATACTTTGGCCTCATGATTTCTAGGGCTCTGGATTAACACAACGACCATGAACCTGTCTGGGGCACAACTTAACAATTCAGCAAAACTGCTCATACCGGCATTTCATGCACCGTGGGGGGTTTCCCGCCGTAGTCCATGTTGGTGGTCCTGAACAGTGGGTTGGGCTCTTTAAATCTGAAAGACAGGATTCCAGTTGAATGTAGGTAATCACACGTTTCCTAATACTATTAGGACAACCAATGTTGGCAGAAGAATTGGTCATATATATGATCTTGGCAGCTCGGACAGTAATTGCAATTCAGTGGGGGGGGGACCCCCAAAACTGGCACTGGACACAGTGCCACTCACTCTGGAACAGAGCTAAAATGGAGAAAATTACATATGATTTGTGATTCCAACAGGGACTAGAACTTCCGGACACCTTTTATATGATTTGGCATTCCTTTATGACGTAAACAGCAGAACCATCATTTTCAGGACAAGCCTGGCAAATGTGGAAGTAGTCTTTACTAGCAGTTGTGCAACTGGATTTGTTATGTGCCTACTTTGTAGTTCCATTTTTCATGTTTTAATTTGCATCTGCTATAACGGTTCTCTTTGTTTTATATACATGATAAAATGATATTTAATCATATTTACAAAAAGAAAAAAGCAGGCACTGACTGGCAGCTGCTCTCCAGAGTTTGAGGCAAGGTTCTTCTCCCCCCCCCCCCCCGCAACCTGGTGATTCCTTGAGGGGAGGGCACATCTGTTTGCAAAGCAGGTGCCCACCATCCATCCCTCTCACCTGTAGCCCCGGAACCATCCAGGGTTGTTGAATCGGCGAGGCAAGGTTGGCTCCACTCTGTAGTAATCAGAGGTTCTCTGGCCCACCTCCCCATCCTTTTTCTCAAGGGAGACTGTAGTGTCTGGGCAATGCTGTTCCTGGGACATTGCAGAGAGTAGGGGCGGTGGGGGGGGGGTTGTAACTCTCTTTCTGAAAGCCAGCAGTGAGGGCGGGGGAGTGGAAGGAAAGAACCCAGACCTCAAAGATGGTGGTTGGTTCTTGTGTAGAAACAAAGCCACTGGGTTGCTAGGAGACCGTACCAAACAGGAACAGCTCTTAAAGGGACCAGCGTCCGATTTGGACACCTTTCCAAGAATATCAGTATGGATTTGACACCCAGTAATACTAGGCAGTGTTGTGTGGTAGTTAGAGCAAGGTTCAAATCCCCACTCAGCCAGGAAGCTCATTCAGTGACCTTGGGCCTGTCACTGACTCTTAGCCCAATCTACCTCACAGGGCTGTTGCACACCACCTTGAGCTCCTTGGAAGAAAGATGGGCTGTAAATCAAATTCATAATACATAGGACAGGACCACCAAGTCCCACCCACCTCCACCTCTGGATTGATAGTGGGTCAAACCACTGGTTCATCTAGCTCTATATTGCAGACACTGACTGGCAGCAGCTCTCCAAGGTTTCAGATGAGAGGTTCTTAGCCCTATCTTGAGATGCCGTGGGGATTGAACCTGGGACCTTCTGAATGCAAAGCAGGTGCTCAACCACTGAGCTATAGCCCTTCCCCTGAAAATAAAGTAAAATTCTAGAGCTCCTAGCCCTGAAAAAAAGCCTGCATTAGAACAGGAGCATGGGTCCATATAGCTCTGTGCTGTCTACACTGAGTGGCAGCAGCTTCTCAGGGCTTCAGACATAAGGCATTCCCCAACCCTACCTGGAAATGTTTCAGTGGGCATTGAAGCTGAGACCTTCTGCATGCAAAGCAGATGCTCAACCACTGAAGTATGGCTTTTCCACTGAAAATGAACTAAGATTCTAGCCCTCATGGTTCTGAATAAAAGGCTGAATTAAATAAGAGGAAACTGCATTAAACCAATCAGGATATTTGTCCATCTAGATTAGTATTGTCAGCACTGACTTACAGAGACTTTCCTAGTGGTGGTGGTTTGAATTTCTATACCCGGTTCCTGCTGGTCTTTTAGTGGGGCAGGGTTGAATTGGATCTGCTTAATAATATATATATATTAAATTTGGGGAAGAGTCCTAGTTTGGTGGTAGATAATCTGCTTTGCGTACAAAAGGTCCCAGGTTCAGTCCCCAATGGCATCTCCAGGTAGCGCTGGAAGAACCTCTCTCCCGGAAACCCAGGGGAGCAGCTGTCAGTCAGTTGTCAACACAAAGCAAGATGGAGCAAAGTCTTGATTGAGCATAAGGCAGCTTGCCCTGTTCCTATCAATAAGATGTATTATTTGATGACCCTTTCGGGTTGTTTTGAATGCTTGTTTTTGTAAGTTAGGTCTCTGAGCCAGGCGTGACAAAAAAAAAGGGCCTTGGAGATCCGCATTCACCGCGCACGATTCACTTCGTTCTGTAAAGCTGCATTGGCGGGGAGGGAATTGCGTTTGAGTCCGCTTTGCGCTTTTGCAACAGCAGGTGGAGCTGCTACGCGCAGGGCCAGGCGGCCTCTCTCTCCCTCCCTCCGACCTTCCTTCCTTCCTTCCTGCGGCCAGGAGAGGCATGATGGCGGCGCCCAGGCTCCTCCGAGGAGCAGCGGCAGGTAAGAAAAAGGAAGGGCAAACGCGGCGGGCAAAGGTTCCTCCCGCTGGGCGCCCCGCGCAAAGCAGTTTTTACGCCTGCAACGCAGGAGGAGGAGGAGGAGGAGGTGCAAAACAGCCTGCCTCCAAGCGCGATGCAGAACCCAAGCCCCGCGTGCACGCGTGTACGGAAAGGAAAAAAGCACGTTGTACATGCTCCAGAACTGCAGAATCGGGGTTAGGGGGTTCTCATACTCTTCTGTAGGGAAGGAAATTGGAGACGGGACTACAAACCATAATGCATACTTGAGGACTTAAGAAGTGCCTGGCTGCTGGATCCTGTTCCGGCAGTGGCCAAACTTCCCTCAAAACCTAGGGATCTAGACAGACTCCCTCTGGACCTGGACAAATATAAGATAGAGGACACCTACCTTGCCAGTAGTATGTGCGAAAAGGATCTTGGAGACTTATAAGACTACAAGCTGAACATGAGTCAACCGTGTGATGCAGCAGCAAAAAGCACTAATGCTATTCTAGGCTGCATCAACAAAAGTATAGTGTGCCGACTGTAGAAAGTAATAGGCCTGCCTTATTCTGTCTTGGTCAGAGCACACTTAGTACACCAATTAGTGTCCAATTCTGGGCAATACCATTTAGGAAGAGGAGGGTGACCAAGATGATGAAGGGTCTGGAAACCAAGCCTTATGGTGAACAGTTGAGGGAATTGGGTATATTTAGCCTGGAAAAGAGGAGACCGAGAGGACATATGATAGCCATCTTTAGTTATCTAAAGGGCTGTCACATGGAAGGTGGAGCAAGCTTGTTTTCTCTTGCTCCAGAGGCTGGGAACCAAATCAATGGATTCAAGTTTAGAAGACTGGCTAAGCACCAGGAAGAGCATTATGACTGTAAGAACTGTTTTACAGTGGAACAGGCTCCCTCGAGGTGGTGGGTTCTCCTTGGAGGTTTTTAAGCAGAGGTTGGATGACCATTTGTCATGTAGATTTTAGCTGAGATTCCTGCATAAATTCTGTGCTGTGCCAAGAAGTACTTTTATCTGTCTGAACCTTCTAGTTACCATGCCCGTATATTTCAGAAGTTTGTTGTGACTTACCTTCTACAAAATTGTGGTGTGTCCCTCACCCTCACCCCCACCCCGGTTTCTCTCTACTCTCTGCCTGGATCAGTCCTTCCCAGACTTTGCAGCTTGGGCGCTTGGACCAAGACTCCTCCCACACTTCAGAGGCTTTATACGACTCTTCCAGCAACAAGTCCAGAAGAAGCTCCCACTGGTGAGCATCGCTGGGGAAAGAGGAGGGTGGGATTGCTGCTGATGGGAGCCCTGGATTTGGCCCTGGGATTCAAAGCCACTCCAGTCACAAGTTGTGGCTGGATTGGGACGGGGGAGGGATCCTAGGCCATTTCAATCCTCTCTTCCATTCAGAAAAGGGCGGGGAGGGGGAGGTGTTGACGAAAGGACCCTATGAGAACTGGTCCTGCTGAATCAAGCCCAAGGGGGCCTGTCTAGCCCGGCTTCTCTGTGGCCAACCAGATGCCCCAACAGGAAGCCCATGGGCAGGACCCAAGCACAAGAGCCCTCTCCCCCTGCTGTGGTTTCCAGCAACTGGGATTCAGAAGCAGCATAGCCATAATGGTTAGTAGCCATTTCTATGAATTTCAAAGCCACTGAAAGGGTAGCCCTAAAGGGTTGTGGGGCGAATAGCTGGCAAATCAAGAGGAGCTGTGATGTTTTTGTGCAAGGTTTTGTTGCAATTCCCAAAGATTTCCTCTCCTGTGCTATGTCATTTGGCAACTGAGTTTGAGCCAATTAGCCATTTTCCCCTCTTTCAGTCGATTATGACAGGCTCCTAGGGGAGCCCCTGAAAAACCCTGATTTCTTCAACGTGCAAGAGCTCTTCTCCTTAAAGGACCTCTTTGATGCCAGAGTCCACCTGGGCCACAAGAAGGGTTGCCGCCACAGGTCAGTGATTCTACCAGTTTTCTTGTAAACAGTGGTTTAATAGCATGTCAGACCCTTGATGCATAGCTATGGCTTGTCTCCTAAAAATAAAATAAGATTCTAGTCCTCATGGCTCTGAAGAAAGGGCTGAATCAAACAGAAGCAAAGGTCCATCTGGCTTAGTACTGTCAACGCTGCACACTGCCTACACTGACTGGCAGCAGCTCTCCAGGGGACATTCTTGGCTGAGAAGTGGCCCTTCCCCTAATAAGAAAATAAAACTCTTGTCCTCATCATTCTGGAGAAAAAGTTGGATGAAATAGGGATATAAGAACTACCTTGTAACCGAGGCAAGCCAGTTGCCCATCTAGCTCAGTATTGTTTACACTATCTGGCAGCTGTGACATGCCAGGTTTTCAGATGGAACATTCCCTGCCCTACCTGAAGATGCCATTGGAGACTGAACCTGCAAAGCAGATGCCATGGCATTGAGCCATGGTCTTTTTCTTAGACACTAAATAAGATTCTTATCATTCTCAGTAAAAGACTGAGTTAATGGATTGCAGCCTGTGGCAGTTTTTCTCATTCTAGAACCACCGAAATGAATGGGCTCAAGCATCTCCCCACATTTCATCCTCACAACAACCCTGCGAGGTAGGTTAGGCTGAGAGCGAGTGACTGGCCCAAGATCACCTGATGGCCGAGTGGGGGGGGGCAGTCCTTGTCCTACACTCTAAACACTACACCACACTGGTTCTCATGCATTAAGACACCCTGCAGGTTGACAGGTCCCAAGTTGTGAAGGGCTTTATGTTCTATTAGATAGATAGAGAAATACACATACACGAGAGAGAGAGAGAGAGAGAGAGAGAGAGAGAGAGAGAGAGAGAGAGATTTTGAGATGTGTCAAGTCTCCCATGGCTTTACGAAGACCAAAAACCAATCCCCACCACTGCTCATGTTTGGCCTCTTGTCTCCTGCAGATTCATGGAGCCATACATTTTTGGGTGCCGCCTCGATCAGGACATCATCAACCTGGAACAGACGATGGTACACCTCCAGCTTGCTCTCAACTTCATGGCTCACGTCGCCTACCGCAAAGGCATAATCCTCTTCATCAGCCGGAACCGTCAGTTTTCCCACCGGATAGAGGCCACCGCCAAGGAATGCGGCGAATATGCTCACACTCGCTACTGGCAGGGCGGCCTGATGACCAATGCCGATGTCCAGTATGGGCTGGGTGTCCGCCTGCCTGACCTGATCATCCTCACCAACACCCTCACCAATGTCTTTGAGCCCCACATGGCCATCCGGGACGCAGCTAAGATGAACATCCCCACAGTGGGCGTGGTAGACACGAACTGCAACCCAACCCTGATCACCTACCCCATTCCGGGTAATGACGACACCCCCTCGGCTGTCGAGCTCTACCTCCGGCTCTTCAAGATGACCATCATGAGAGCGAAGGACAAGCGGAGGCAGATGGAGGTCTTGTGCAGAGGGCAGGACAAGCCTTGCTAAGGAGGCCGGAGCGGCTTGGTGGGAAACCATCCTCCCCCTACTCCTGAAAAATTCACTAGCTGGTCCCAGGTGCAAAATCTGGAAGACTGTCTTGGCTACAGGCAACTGAGCCACATTCACAGCATGTGTTTAAAACACCACGGTACCATTTTAGAGCCATGGTTTCTCAAAAGAACCCTAGGAACTGTGGTTTGTTAAGACTGCTGAGAGTTGCTAGGAGGCTCCCTATTCCCCTCCCAGAGCTACAATTTGCAGAGTGGTTTAACAGTCAATCCCTCTTCCCAGGGAGGTCTGGAAATTATAGCTCTGTGGGAGGGAAGAGGGGTCTCCTAACTCTCAGCACCCTGAACAAGCTAAAGTTCCCAGGGTGCTCTGAGTAAATCCATGACTCACTTCAAACGTCTGGTGTGAATGTGGCCTGTGTTAGGTCCTGTCTATACATTTCAAAGCATTCTTAACACCACTTCAAACAGCTGCAACTTCCCCAAAAAATCCTGAGAACTGTAGTGTGTTCAGGTTGCTGCAAGATAAAAGGAGACCATTCTGTTCCCCCTCCCAGAACTATAATTCTCAAGCGTTCCCTGTGAACAAGGATTTATTGTTAAATCGCTCTGGGAATTGTAGTTCTGAATAGTGTGGAGGGTGTCTCCTAACAGCTCTCAGCACCCTTAACACACTATAGGTTATAGGATTCTTTTGGGGGAAGCCATGAATGTTCAGAGGGGCAAGAGATTGCTTTAATTGTGTGTTTTAAGCGTGGCCTCAGGTTGTGATTCAAAGCATGCTTGCAAGAAAGCAAATGGATGCATACCACGTATAACTCTGAGGTTATTTTCCCAGGAAACTTCCGCCTAGAGTGCAATAACTTTCCTTCAACCCCACAAGACATGCCATTCTGCCTCGCCTTCGCTGTACATCTTGACCAGGCTTCCTCAACCTCGGCCCTCCAGATGTTTTGAGACTACAATTCCCATCATCCCTGACCATTGGTCCTGCTAGCTAGGGATAATGGGAGTTGTAGGCCAAAAACATCAGTTTTAAAGCAACAGCAGCTCTGAAGCAGGACGTGTATCTGAAAAAGTTAATTGTGGGAAGAGGATAGCTTACAGCATTTCCTAGGACAGCAGGAGTGGGAAACATCTGGGGCCGTGCAGGTGCTTCTGACCACTGGCCACTCTGGCTGGGGCTGCTGCAAGCTAGAGTCCAGCAACATCTGGAGGGCCACAGATTCCCCAGACACAGCCCAGACTGTCCCAAAGTATGGGTAGAGAGCAGTGGTAGACTGGGCCAAATGCCTTTGCTTCTGCATTGGAAGTTTTTTCTCTCTTGCACCCTTTTTTCAACCTCATGTATGTTTTCCTTATAAAAAATAAAGATATGTTTGCAAACAGAAGCATTTATGTATTTAATTAACAACATAAAAAGAGCCCTGCTGCTGAATCTGGCCAAAGGGGCCCATCTAGTCCAGCATCCTGTTCTCCCAGCTGCCACTTAGATGCTTATTATGGGGAGCCTCCAAGCAGGATCCAAGCCCAAGAGCAGCCTCTCCCTTCCTGCAGTTTCCAGTGACTGGTATTCAGAAGCATCACTGCCTCCAACCATGGAGGCCAAAGCATGGCTACCATGGCTAGTAGCCACTGACAGCCATCTCCACCCTGAATTTGTCCAGTCCTGTTTTAAAGCTATCCAAGTTGGTTATCAATGCCTCCTGCGAGAGCAAGTTCCACAGTTTTAACTGGAATAATTAATCTAATTAGGTTGTGTGAGGCTTTTTTTAAATACCCTGTCCTTTCTCAAGGCAGCGTTGAAATTAGCAAGCAGGGGAGATGTGCCGGTCTTGTTTCCAACATTGTGTATTACCTGGAGTTCCTTCTCTCATTTTATACCTGCTGACCAGAAGCCTGTGCTCCTCTTTCTGTTTTCCGACTCTGCCTTCTGTTTATCTACTCCAGCGTCAAATGGCTCTTAGCACCAGAAAGTTACTCCTAAGGTTTAGTTGGTTGGAATCTCGATTCTTGCAATTTGGATCAGTTTGTTCAGGTCCTTTCCTCTGGAGCAGCAGAAAATAGGCTTGCTCTGTCTTCCAGGTGGGAGTCATTTAGGTATTGTTACAGTATTCCATGCGCTCTGGTTTCCGTCACAGTGTTCTGTTGCGCCAGAAGCGGTTTAGTCATGCTGGCCACATGACCCAGAAAGCTGTCTGTGGACAAATGCCAGCCCCCTTGGCCTGAAAGCGAGATGAGCGCCGCAACCCCATAGTCGCCTTTGACTGGACCTAACCGTCCAGGGGTCCTTTGCCTTTTTACCTATACAGTAGATGTCTGAACCCACCTGCATGTCCAAGCACTCATGTGTGTTCATACACACACTGACAAGAGGTTTAGGATCCTGTCAGTTAGGACATGCACTTGTTATGAATATGTGTTTACCTTTAACCTTATGCCAAATATTAAGCTTTCGCACTAAAGGAATAAAAAGCTTGGTTTGTTATATGAAATAGAAGTGACAGAATGTATATAAATGCTGCTTCAGATGGCTAAATATACAGTTTGTGAGGCAACATCTCACAATAAATACATACACACCTTGATCGAAAGAGTAACAGAAATGCCTATTCTCAAAAAGCCTGTAGAAAAGTGAGCTTGGCAATTTTGCCACTGAAACCCACACTAAATAGCAAAGCAGAAATGGAAAGCGAACACTGTACCTGTTCTTAACGTGTATGCTGATCTTGAGAGCCTTGCATAAGTTCTGTTGAAGCTAGCAAACTGACTAGTTGGGAATTGGGGGTTTAAAATACAATGGTACCTCGGGTAAAGTACTTAATTCATTCTGGAGGTCCGTTCTTAACCTGAAACTGTTCTTAACCTGAAGCACCACTTTAGCTAATGGGGCCTGCTGCTGCTGCCGCACCGCCGGAGCACGATTTCTGTTCTCATCCTGAAACAAAGTTCTTAACCCGAGGTACTATTTCTGGGTTAGCGGAGTCTATAACCTGAAGCGTATGTAACCCAAGGTACCACTGTAATATTGAACTAATACCTCCTAGTAGAGAAGTGAGGGGCTTTGAAATGGAACAGTTCCTGCCCATTTCTCACCTTTGTCCATCTAGTGAAAAAATGGCTAAAACTGGTCATCCAGTTTGCTTCCCACTCTGATGTTTTGCTTAACAAAAGGATGAAAGCCTGTGATAGTGAGCCATTAACTGTACCTGGCCATCTTTTCATCTGCTCTCTGCCTTATCTCTTTCCTGCTGGTGAAAGTGCTTATAAGGGATATACACACACACACGTAAAAATAATAGTGCAACACTTTTGAGTTCAGTGGGGCTTACCCTCAGGTAACTGTCCATGCAGGATAGCAAGAAATGATGAAACTTACCGGAAGAATCAAGAAATGCAAGATAACAAACTTTTTATAAAAGACTATTGACAGATAAATTACAGATAAGATCATTGGCAGGATAAGATAACAGATAAGATCATTGGCAGGATTATTGTAATAACCTGCAGTTTTATAAGAGTATATCTTTAAAGCAGATGAATAAATGAGCAAATTAAGTTAATTTGGATATGCAGAGGATATTAAAAATAAATTTAAGGAACCGCAGAAAGGGGGGGAAGGAAGTCAAGCTTTTAAATGTTAAAATGATTGTAAAATTAGTGGAATGTATAAAACTAGTGAAATGTTTAAACTTGAAAAGTATAAATAAAATTTGTAAAATTCGGAGGGTGGGGAGAACAGTCTTCCACGCTCGGCCAGATTTTTCCCACCTGATAACTTGGAGGCTGAAAAGATCTGGTTCATCCTACTAGGCTTTTCAGAGCTGGCCCTTGATGCCTTGCTGGATTCCAGAATGGCATCAACCAATTGTATTTGCAGCATGTCCTGGAATCCTTACCTGTCTCCTTGTTCACACTTTGGGCTGTAGGCTCTTCCTCGCAACATTCATGGTTTTCCTCAGTTTCTTCAGGAAGGGATAAATAATGTCAGCACCCTCAAAAAAACAAGTAACCTCTCTGAGCAGTGTTTTTTATTGCCTTGGTAGGGATCCATTGAATTCCTATCCTACGTACAAACTTTTGTTTGAGGGAGTTGTGTTGTCCTACTCCCCTGTCATACATAGATTCACTCCTTGGAATTAAAATTGGGCTCTCGCAGCTCTCAGGGGTCCGCATTTTGATCCACAACTCAGCGCTCTTAATCTGGATAGAGTTGTGCTATCCCCACACCTTTTCTCGTGCCTAAAGTTCATTCAGATGTAAGATGCATAACTGGTAAGCTGAGCAGAGCTGATTGTGCATCAAAAACCAGCCACACAAATACAATCACAAATAACACACCTTAAGTTAATTATACGTTCCAAAGTTACTCTCACTGGTTTCTCAAAGGTGATCCTGATTAAAACGCCTTTCCTGGTTTCTCTTTGCAGGATGGGAAATAACAGCATAGGTCAGCATTCCAGGCTAATAAGCTCACGTTCCCTGAGCTGTGGTGAGAGAATCTCCTGTGACACCCATGCCCCAACAGGCGTTGCAGCTCTGGCTGATGTGCCACAGTTGTGTCAGTAGGTGGCAGAAAGGAACAGACTATGTCTACGCTCAGTGTTCTGCAACCCGTGAGAATTCAGAATGATTAGTAGCCTGACAGGTGTCCCCAACTTCCTCAAATGTGATATTAAGGTTCCTGCAAAAATCATGTTCTGTCTGTCCAAAATTGAGGGGTCTTAGCAAGTTTCTAGTCTTCATGGTTCTGAATAAAGGGCTGAATTATAAGGGACGCAGGTGGCACTATGGGTTAAACCACAGAGCCTAGGACTTGCCGATCAGAAGGTTGGCGGTTCGAATCCCCGTGACTGAGTAAGCTCCCGTTGCTCGGTCCCTGCTCTTGCCAACCTAGTAGTTTGAAAGCACGTCAAAGTGCAAGTAGATACGGTAAATAGGTACCGCTCCAGCAGGAAGGTTAACGGCGTTTCCATGCGCTGCTCTGGTTTGCCAGAAGCAGCTTAGTCATGCTGGCCACATGACCCGGAAGCTGTACGCTGGCTCCCTTGGCCAATAAAGCAAGATGAGCACCGCAACCCCAGAGTCGGCCACGACTGGACCTAATGGTCAGGGATACCGTTACCTTTAAATAGGAACACAATAAACTGCATTCTACTGAGTCATCCCTTTGCAGTCCACCTAGCTTAGTACTGTCTGCTGTGATTGGCAGGGCTGCCCAGAGTTTCAGGCAGGGAGTCTTTCCCAGCCTTTCCTGGAGTGGTCAGGGATTGAACCTGAGACAGGTATCTGCACACCAATGAGATTGTTATGTAGTGTAGTTTCACCCTGGGCCAACAGGGGGATACTGTATATAGTTTTCACTCAGGTCTGTAGATAGTTTTCACTCAGGTCCGCGGCAGTTATTTTAGGCGGGAACTCTGGGCTGTTGTGGTTACAATGTTGACAGCCGGCTGCCTATAAATACAGGCCGGCTGAGCTGTTCGCAGTCAGTTCTATTCCAGCTTACCATAATAAAGAGCTACTTGAAGAAATCGCTGTGCCGGCTGCTATGTCAACCCACGACTTAACAGAGATGATCCACCAATGAGCTCCAGGCAGTGCCTTCCACAATTTCCCCACCCGGTAGAGCAACTTTCAAAGCCTGACAAAGTTGCAAGTTCACCTCTCTTCACGCTTGTAAAATGCATGTTGCTGGGTTTAACCTGGGAAGTTTCTGGGTTAGTGAGGAGAAAATAGTGTTTTTATAAACTGTGTTCCAGTAGATAAGATGAGCAGACAACAAGGACCTTTTATAATGTAAGGCTGCAGATCTAGCTTGCTTTCACCCAGGCACCAGAGTGGTAAAAGTCCATCCACCAGGGATATTTGAGCTTCATTCTGTATAACTACAAACTAAAGCAGGAATATCTGGCTTGCTCCAGGTCAAATAAATAACCACATATGATTTGGAATGGGGATGCAGATTTCTTGTACTTAATGCAGCACAAGCCTTCAGCGGCCTTCAATTTCAGCATATAATTTCAGGGTCTATGGATTAGTTTGTTTAATACCCTATTTTTTTCCGTTCAAAGGAGAGTTGCTGCTGGATTTCTGCAGCAGATATTTTAATGCACGAGGTAAGCCTGGCAACAGGTTCTCCAGACACAGATTGAAGAACTTTTCTGCCAAGCAGCAGCTTTGTAGAGTTTGCACTTGTAAGATTAAAAAAATACCAGGGTTTGTTTTAGGGTTTTAGGGTGTGTGCGTTTTTTATAATGACCCATATACGTGCAGAGTGGAAGCAGCCAGGTACACTTGCCCCAGGCCTTGGAGGGCTAAGTTGGCCAGGGGCATCACTAGGGGCCTGCCAGACTTATGATGTCATGCCAGCAGGGCTTGGGTAAGAATGAGGCAGATGCTCAGAGAGCAAGTCAGTTGCTCTCACAGTGGATTCGTGCTCATGGGCAAGACCAGTGTGACCAGGACAACTTCAACGACTGCACCCAAGAACGATCCACAACAAGGGACTAATCATGAAGAGTCTACTGAACAACCGGAGCCATTTGAGAGACCTGATTCTGGTAATTATGGGTGCGTTGATGAAAGCGATATAGGGGAGATTCTCACCTGTATTCTTCAAGATATGCATCTTCTTGCAGAGCGCAGTCAGACAGGAACGAAGAATACAATTATTGTTTTCAGCTATATGTCAAATAGAATTCAAAATGAGTTGATTGCAGCATATGTGGAAAAGGTGGTGAGCATATTGCAAAAGGATTTGGAGATTTCTACTACTACTATAGCGTCATAGTTGATGGTATACCTGATTGTTGTCACAAGGAGAAGCATATGTTTTGGCTTCATTTTGTGGTGAAGATCAAGGAGCTGTGAGGAGTTGTCGAGTGTTTTCTGTGCATGGAAGACTGTAGCAATAAGACTGCTGAAGCTATTGCTAGTCCAGGGCATGGACTTTTCCACATGCCCTGGCCAGATATTGTTGCAACCATATTATGAAGCTCATAAAGGTGATCAAGACAGAAGTACTGTTTTTGGGGGACAGGGAGCGGGCTGGTGTGGAGGACTCCCTGGTCCTGAATAGGGTAACTGTGCCCCTGAAGGACCAGGTGCACAGCCTGGGAGTCATTTTGGACTCACAGCTGTCCATGGAGGCGCAGGTCAATTCTGTATCCAGGGCAGCTGTCTACCAACTCCACCTGGTATGCAGGCTGAGACCCTACCTGCTCGCGGACTGTCTCGCCAGAGTGGTGCATGCTCTAGTTATCTCCCGCTTGGACTACTGCAATGCGCTCTACGTGGGGCTACCTTTGAAGGTGTCTCGGAAACTACAACTAATCCAGAATGCGGCAGCTAGACTGGTGACTAGGGGCGGCCACCGAGACCACATAACACTGGTCTTGAAAGATCTACATTGCCTCCCAGTACGTTTCCGAGCACAATTCAAAGTGCTGGTGTTGACCTTTAAAGCCCTAAACGGCCTCGGCCCAGTATACCTGAAGGAGCGTCTCCACCCCCATCGTTCTGCCCGGACACTGAGATCCAGCGCCGAGGGCCTTCTGGCGGTTCCCTCATTGCGAGAAGCAATGCTACAGGGAACCAGGTAGAGGGCCTTTTCGGTAGTGGCACCCGCCCTGTGGAACGCCCTCCCATCAGATGTCAAAGTGATAAACAATTACCTGACATTCAGAAGACATCTTAAGGCAGCCCTGTTCAGGGAAGTTTTTAATGTGTGATATTTTAGTGTATTTTTGGTTTCTATGGAAGCTGCCCAGAGTGGCTGGGGAAACCCAGCCAGATGGGCGGGGTACAAATAATAAATTATTATTATTATTATTATTATTATTATTATTATTATTATTAGCACGAATTGTTCAGAAAGTGCCCAAAGCTTTCTTTTCAAATTGTGTAATGTGCTTAATTTTTCAGTATGCCATGATGCACAGACCAGTATCCAAACGAAGTTTTTTCAACTATGTGTGAAATACATATATTTTTTTCCACTTGCAGTCCACCACTCTGAAAAATACTGAAGCAAGTCCTCAGCACATCACTGCATTCAGCAAGCGCAACTCATTGGAGTGCATACATCAATGCTATGTGACCAGTGTATGAAAAGCCAGCAAATATAACTTGAAAAGATAACTTCATTTACCAAACTCTCAACTGGAGAGCCTGTTACTTCCCTGAGTGACAATGTCTTGAAAAGATCTATCTAGTGATGTGTATCAGATGACACATAAGGACAGGAAAACTTCCCACAGATTTGGTCCTTCTTGAACTTGCTCCAGTGAGTCATTCAAAGTGGTTAGGAACAGCAAACAGGCTTGGTCGCATATGGGTTTCAAAGCATGACCTTAAAGGCAAAACCCTCCACAACTTAAGACTGATAGAGGAATACATCTTTTGTGTGTACTACCAATGCTGGTTCAACATCAAAGTAAAATACTCCTGGGATGGAATGCCCACATCTTGTTTCAGGTGCAGTGAGTTAGGCTGCAAAAGAAGGTTATAGTGGATGCTGTTTTGCCACCCATCCAACGCTCAGCATGGTGTGCAGTCAGGAAGATGATAATTCAGACACTCTTGTGATCAGATGACAGTGAGGAGAGCTGGTGTCCGAAAGATGATTGACTTGAGGGGTGGAGATCATGACACTCTGGGAGATCTTTCTGTAAATCTCAGAAATATATCTTTCACAAATCACAAGTGTTTTGTCCCTGTTGGAACTGATAGATGAACCAATGCAAGACTTGATTAAACTTGTTTAAGTTTCTTATTAGCTGATGCCATTACCTTGTAATTAGAAAACATTAGAAAGTAATGTTGTATGTTTAGTAGGATATGTTTTATGTAGAGAAGCTAAAAATTTTATAGGGTTACCAGGCACTTTCAGAAGTTAGACTTAAAATTCTTTGGTTTTCTGTGAGCGGTTTATGTGCTTTTTAATGAAATGTGGATTGATCAAGCTAAATGTTGTCCAATCATAAAAATAATAGCAGATTTTAATTCCCCAGACCCAAAAACATATTTTTAAGACCCCTCACTGAAGAAATTTGGAAAAATTAACTTTCTGTCCTTAAAATGACATGCCCTAAATTGTGGTGGGCCTCTTGCGGCATCTTGAATTGTGATGCTTATGTAAACTGATAAAAACACGCAATAAAGGGTTGCATAAGCAATCATTTTATCCCAGAAAGCCGCTGTTGCTCTGGGGGAGACCAGAGGCCACCTTCACACCATACTTTAGTATGCTATTATACCACTTTAAACAGTCATAGCTTCACCCAAAGAATCCTGGGAGCTATAGTTAAGGGTGCTGAGAGTTGTTAGAAGACCACCTGTCTCCCTCACAGACCTGCATTTCCCAGTGTGTGTGGAATAGGGGCCTCCTAATAACTCTCATACTCTTAAACTATAGTTTAAGTATGATTCTTTGGTGAAAGCCAAGACTGTTAAAAGTGGTATCCAGTGCAGTCATAAAATTCTAGGAGCCCCCAAAGAGTCCTGGGAGCTGGAGTTTGTCCAGAGTTGTTAAGAGGACCCCTATTCCCTTCCCTCCCCAAGCTACAATTCCCAGGGTGTTATAGCAGTCCCACATCCTACAGTACTTTGGGAAATGTAGCTTTGGGAGGGGAATAGCAGACTCTCT